TATTTTGTGGGCTACACAACGGACATGATTGTTTGTGATTTTTCTCCGTTTTGCGTTATTATGTCACGAAGCTCCTCATGTCCTCGGCCGAAAACCGGAAAGCGCTACGGGTTTGTATATTATAATATTATATTAATAACAGCCAAACCGCCGTTCGGCTGCCTAATGGAGATATCTTCGCCAAAAAGAACATATTCACAAATCGTATGTATTGGTTGCGACTGATTTACGACGGTTTAAAAAGACCTTGAGTACACATTTTAATATACACGGGGGTTCCAATATTTATCAAATATCTCCGTTTAATTAGAATTGGCCGTGACGCTCGAGCAATCGTCGGGAGGATATTATTCGGTAAGTATTTATCCGTCAGGGTAAGGTTGGCTAGGTATTTGGGTTGTCGTTGTAGTACACCAAAGCTATTACAACATCAACGTGTATCTTAATTATTTCTATACCTACAGTATAACATTATCAGTGCACGTACGACCACTGCAGTTTACTGTCGACGAACAGGCGATCTCGTTAGATCTGACAATAATAATAATGTTGTATTCATTATGTAAGTATAATCATTACCCGCGGAAACCGTCCGACTTTGACAATCCGGATTATATTATATTTCACTTGACAGTCGCATTGTTCCTGTTTTATATAACTTCCTATGCGAGGCTAAAGCTGCATTTGACCGTGTACGCTTTAATTGTATTTTCTAATTAAAGACGAACCTACCGTCTTCGTAGAAACAAAGCCTACACAGTAATTTTGATAAAACACTACCCGGCGTATTATTATCAATAGAAGATATATATTTTTTTAAGATATTGCTTAGGTAACACCTCGCGCACACATGATTCCGTAACATACAATGATCTTGATGTTTTTCAAAATCGCAATATTATTTTTTCGGTTTAGGGAGAAAAAAAAATGTATGTTATACCATACATATGTGGGGTACCTATGTACGATAGAAATAATGGATTTTATACGGTCTGTCCGATTTGTAAGCATGTGTGTAGAGGTTTGGATTTGTAGGTTTTTTTTTTGTTCAATATTTTTTTTCCGACACTCCGGTACAATTATAATCATCGTGTAATGTTGTTTCGGACAAAACAAAATTCTCATTGCGAAATCGGTATGTATAGCGGCAATATTTTATATATTATTATTTATTTCATTATTTGGATCAAGGTGAACGGACGTCGTGATCGCATACCTCCCCCCCCTTTCCCCGCCCCAGTGTTTTAGGGCGTATGTTGTATGGACAAAAGTATTATCGGACGGATACTGCCGGTCGTTTCCCGCCATATTATTGCGCGGGGCACGTAAGTAGGTATTTAAGGAAGCAAGTATATAATACATATGTATCTGTGTATGTATACATGTATCTGTGAGGGTAAAAATCGTATGTCTAGTCGGGCCACGGGGCCGAGGGGCAAAAGTAAAGTACGGGGCACATCTCACAGATAACTCGCTTGAATATGATTTCAATCGTTAACGGACGAACCGCTAAATTATAATACTATATAATATTATCTGTGACGATTGCGCGCGGTGTAACCGAAAGCAACGCGCGTTATTTAATTGATTGCGTTAAGTCGCATGTATATTACTTGTTGGGGGAGGGGAGGGGGAGGGGCAGTTTTAAAGGAAATGAATTCGTACGTCCGTGTTGGTAAAATCTGAAAAGATGTGCGCACACTTTCCCTCCGCAAGCGCCGCGGCCAAACCTAAACGCGCATTAAACACACCACATTAGCCGGTGACGCCAATAATTAAATTGGTCCGTACGATTATTATTTTATGTATAGGTATATCGAGACATCGGTCACAGCGTATGTGCAGAGAGACTTTCCCGGTAAGTCGTTTTCACCGGACAGACACACCGTGTTATCACGTGCCCACCGAATTCGATTCGACGTTTAAGTGAATTAACGGCACTGCGAAAAAACGGAACGATTTTTCGAGAAATTTTATTCAAACCGATCGTCCGACCAGACCGGCCTAGAGTCGGAAAATTGTCGACTTAAGTGAACAATCCAGGTTTCACTCTTAAGAGGACGCTACCCCATAGATAATGTTCTTCTCTATAGGTACATTGTGCAAATTCGATACACCTACTGTTAATACTGGCCTCACATACTTGTCCCGCGCAAACCAGTTTTGATGGGGAAAAAGTTGTAATTTATCTTATAGAAATTACTGTGATAGTCTGACAAAAGAAAAAAAATTGCAATCAATAAATTATCTTCATTACTGTATTAATAAGTATAAAATTATAGTTCAAGCTCTAAAAAAAGATTTTCTGAAAAATTGTCTACACTTTTCTCCTTAGAAATGGGCTGAGTGGCGTCCTCTTAATGCCCTTATACCTCTGTTGTGTGTGTGTGTGTGTGTGGATATTGAACAGTTGAATACTTCAACAGGCCTTATCCGATGCAATCATAAGATTTTGAACGTGTTTTACTCATTCTAGCACTAACGCATGGAATGTAAGAAAGATAATGGAGAGTTATCGTTTGCCATCCGTTATCCTCCTTGTGGGGACACCAAGAAGAAAATAGAAACTCTCCAGTGCTAAAGAGGAATCTAAATGGATAATTTCTTTGAAATATTAGTTTTGCAATGAAACTTTTAAAGCTGGTAGAGCTGTCGAATTACAGTTATTCTTTAATAATTTATGCAAAAAAAAATGTGTATATTATAATTTATCCGCTTATATTAATCGAACATAAACGAAGTCCCTCTAAAATTCCATGTTTTCTAAACGTTGTTATAAGTATAATGTTGAAGGAATTGAAGTTCGCTAATTGACGCACTCCGTGTAATGTTTTATAATTTATTCATATGAGAGAAACAAAATCTTTAAAACAAATTATGTAAAGCGCGTGACAGCGCAGCGCATGTTGCTAACATAATTACTATTCAATACATTTTTTTTTGCATTAGTAATAATAACATGTTTTTTTTCTAAGCAACAATATCGTTTTCTGATATTTTATCAAAAAAATAACAATATTAAATTTTTTTTTCTTTTGAGACTAACATTAAATATTTTATCTGTTTGTTAATTTTAATTTATGCGAGTTATGTAATTAGGATAAGTAATCCCGTTAAAAATAATTTAAATTACGCTACTAATCAAACTACAAAATTTGTGATTTGGAATACGATCTTGTCAAAAATATAATTTTGTACTAGTAATAATTTAAAGGGAATTTCATGCAGTCTATTTTTTTTGTTGTTTTAGACCAAAAATACAGACAAAAATTCAACTACTTAGGATGGTCCGAATTCAATTCTGTAAAGATATGCGAGTTCTTTGGCAACATTACTCGATTATGTAGGAAACAGATTTTTGATTTTTTGTTTTCTATTAATGTAAAAAAATCAAGAAAATGTCATTTTTAAATGAAAATCGGCTTCCTACGTATCATTGTAAAGTAGCCAGTGAACTTGAATCTCTTTACAAAATTGAAATTGGACAATTTTATGTAGTCAAAATTTTCTCTGGATTTTTGGTCTAAAATAAACCAAAATGGCTTTTACTTGAAAAAAAAAATATTTTAACTAAAAATAATACCTTAAAGCTCATACAAATTAACCGGTAAATTAATTTACACGGGCTAAATCGATTAAAACCTCGTTTTTCTTAAATATTGCCTATACAAAACTCCTAAAAAACAGACCGCGTACGATCCTCTTAAGAGTAAAGTATAATTTTCACCCGAGTTAACTTGTTTGGACTGTTGATCATGCACTTGTATGCACTTGTACGTGGTGTCGATGTTGAGTATAATTGACCGCAATTATTATTAGGCTTTTGTAGGGTTTTTGTGTTCAATAACATAATATTAAACAGCCGGAGTGTAAGTTATTCGAAAACAATACATAAGCGAACGTTCACCCGGGTAAACCGCCGCCAAAGACGGTTGTTGGTCGGCCGTAAGACGTTGTTATCATAATGTCATACACGTGATATTACTATACACAGAACGACCGGGATTAGACTTAAACGTGCGTAACTGACATTCGTAACACACAAGACTTGTCGACCGTCGGTTGTGGTCATTTTTTTTTTTGTCGTGACATTATGATTTTCTGTGTGTTACGAAATAGTCCACATCGGTAAGTCGGGGGGTTTTTTTTTTTATTATTCTTTTAACAAAGTACACTAAACAAACACAATCGTATAATATGATTTCTCTGCTTTGTCCGACCACAATCGACCGTCGATGGACGTCAGGACTCCCACGACCGACGTTTATATTATCATAATAATACAATATTTTATTATTATCATTTCCCGGTCGTCCGCCGCCTTGTATTACTTTCTTTCGATCCAGTTTAAATCGGTTTCGTACAAATCACGTAATCGATCGTGTCCGATATATTATTATTGCATATGAGTTTTTTTTTTGTCGAGGCTCCCCCGAGGGTTCGGAAAACCGTTCAAACGGCGCACAGATAAAAAACGTCAAAAAAAAAACTTTCATTTTTCACGAGCCTCAAGGCAAAAAATATATAAATAATATTATATATTAACCTTTCTACTCCGTCTAGCGTAGGTACGTCTGGGTAACGACAACTTTTGCGGCACATGTTATCGACGTTACGTAAAACTTGTCTTGGAACAAGTATATGAGTACGGCGAGCGGTTTCGATTTCTAACAAAAATATCATTTAGCATGCACGAGAACTCAACCGATCCCGACCAATATTAATAAAATATACAATACGGTTATTGGCGAGAACCGTCAGTGGTAAAGTTACAAGTATCTATCTGTCTATTTTATTTTTGTTTTTTTTCCAATTCAAATATTACCTACCTCTACAAAATAAATTTAAACAAAACGAAAACGACAATTTACAGTAAAATGCCCACAAGAATAATCTATAAAAGTACAATATTTTATAATTTATTACAGTCGAGTTATATATTATTATATGCGTGGACACATGGGCAAAATATGTTGGAGCTGTATATATTATGTACTTACTCGTTTTATTTGGATTGTTAGTGTTTTTTTCGTTTCTCGTTTCGAAGATCCCGGTGATATCCACGACGAGCACAAAAGATCACAGTGTAAAAAATAAAAATAACAAAACAAAAAAATCGATTCGAAACCAAAAATTTTACCGCGACGTATAAATCGTGCGGGGTTAACCAAAACGATTATAAAACGAAACAAAAAAATGATAAAGTAATAATTTCAGGCGATTAAATGATTATTAACAAAATTTAACAACGGTGGTAAAAAAATTTTTTTTTTTTAAATATTGTGGTAACTGTAGTGACGGTTGGCGCGGACCGGCGAGTGTGACGACCACTTTCACTGGTTTAAGACCACTCGGCGACTATCCCGGGCGACGGCGCGAACGGATAATGAGTGTATTATGCGTGTGTATGAATGTGTGTGTGTATGTGTAATGTCGTCGCCACTATTGGTACACTATAATGATATAGTATAGAATAGTACTGCTGCAGCTAGTAGTTATACTGCTACTACTACTACTACTACTACTACTTCTTCTACTACTACTACTATTACTATTACTCTACTACTACTCGTCACACGTAACCCACGATTACTACTGATACCAGATGCCCGGCGTCGCGCTCGTCGGTTCTACCCTACTGCTGCTGCCGCTGCTGCAGTCGGCCGATGGTAATGAGCGCGCGTGGTCATCGGCTGTCCCCGGGGCCACGCCGCCGCCACTCTTCTCATTCCCGCCGTCGTTCTCCCACTCTGTCGACGCTGGCAGCGGCTCTCGCCCCGCTGTATTTTTTTTCCTTTTTGGTCACCCGATCGGCTTGTCAAGACGCAGCTCAACTCGCAAGTTCGACGAGGAAAAGGAAATAAATAATTACTTATACATATCTGCACGAAATACGGATTGTAACAAAATATACAATAATATAAAGAAGCTTAAAGTCGTGTAATCTTATAACAAACTTTTTTGGGCTATTCAAATTATAAAAATTCAAAAAGTTATGATTTTTTAACTCAATTTAGCTTTAGCGTATATTGTAATGTCAGAATTACAATGTAAAAAACCTGCCATTTAATTAATGGATTTTTTTAATAATATTTTACTAGACAATTGGTCGGCTTGGCGCAACTAGAAAGGGTGAGGGCTAGGAAAGTAAGGTTTATATTTTTTAGGTACTAAAAATAAATCTGAAGGAGTTTTCAGAGTTTTTAAAATGTCTGGACTTCCCTAGCCCTTCCTCTAGTTACGCAAATATTGTCGATATTAATTAATAATTAAAATCTATAAAAGACTAAACAGAACAAGTGGGAGTCATTGTTGTTATAAATAGTTGCAGTTTTAATTATTATGTGTAATTAAAATATAAATAATGACAATGTTATTTAACTGATAATCAATTTGTTTTTTAAAAGGTAATGCAACTTTTAGAACAACGGTGCTTAATATAGTTTGTCAAGTAACAGAAATCTGTCGTTTGTACTACATAAGTATCGCTTTATTTTTTTTTAATATCATAACTTCTAAAGTGTGGTTTGAAAGCGAACGGAGATTGTTAATTGATTACATATCTCGGATAATCCAGTTATGTTTATTAATGAGTATACATTCATCTAATTTATTTCATGTTTAATGTAACTAGTTGTGCATATTATATGGTTTCTCATTCACATTTTATAAACTCTTTAAAAAACCATTAAGACAGGTTTTGAGTATTTTTGTGTATGTAACTAACTATATTAATATAGTTAATAGGTGACTGTTTTTGTTGCTTACAGAAAAATTGGTAAAACAATGCAATTACAACACTAAATAATTCCACGCAATGTGGAAAATTTAAAATTAAATAATTAATGTTCATACTAAGAAATCATAATCTAGTGTTAACATAATTTATGTTTACCTAGTATGTTACACTAGATCTTTAAAATGAATAGAATGACTTATAATATATTATGTTAGCTATAGTATACATTTTCACAATGGTGACATATTCGCATAGTGCCTAGTGGTGCTATTAGGGAAAGTAATTTATCTTATTGAATTTTTTTTGGGAGCTATTTATAAGATTATTTAAATCCTATCCCCGTCACTTTTTATGCACTCACTTACTGTTAACCGTATGTAATTTTCACGGGAACAAAATACGTAGACTACATTAATTGTTCTACCTTAAAATGCACTTGCTACTATAGAATTAATCATAGTAGTACGAAATAAGTAACAATACATCACTTATAGTTATAGTAATAATCAATACGAATCAAAACTAGAAATTTAGCGTGTAATTTGCAATTACAACACTTAATAGCAATTATTTACAAATGATAAATATTATAGACATTTTTCTATTTTCCAATAGACAATCAGTTTTGAAAATTAATAAAAAAAATTAAAAATACTAAGATAATGTAATTAATACAAACACCTACGATATGATATGTGTATATTTATTTTCATTATATATTTTATAAACCAACAAGCTGTCCGGACCCGGCGTTGCCCGAGATTTAGTCTGCCAGGGCTGAGTAAAATAATTGTCATTCCCCCATTCCCACCCCCACCCCTCATCTCTAATCTCTTATCAGATAACAGCGTGACAGCGTTTTTGTGACACTTTTTTCGGTTGTTATGTCCTCCTCTTACTCAAGGGTCCCGGTCCCAGTCTCAGTCCCAGATCCCGTTCCAATAGTTAAAAGCTTGCCTAGAATCGTGGTACATAGAATCGGCCTGTTCTTTTAATCATCATCTACCATTTGCTCGAGTACCGTGGTTACTATGGTTACAAACCAAGTGTTTATTTTGGGTTACTATGGTTACAAACATTTAATTTACTTACATTTCGTATTTAAAGTAAAAAGTTCGTGTTTGAGGCCATCCTTAGGGGTGCAATTTTCGTAAAGTACTATACCAGTTAGGTTCGCGGGAGTGTACTCAACAACTTCCCAAAGTTTCATGGCGATCGGATGAATGGTGTACTAATGCATAAAGGACAGACAAACAAACAAACAGAAATTTATTTGTACATACATATATATAGATTATTCTTATTTATTGACTTTGTTTGGAAATTAATTATACGTTTTTTATTCTTACGTTCTTCCCAGACTAGCAGCCTTGGAAATAAATCTAGAACCGCTAACTATAATATTAAAATACACACTATTACATATGTACATTTATATTAATCATTATAATGTGTCAATGTTGTTGTTGGGATATCGTTTATGGGTTATGTTTATAGTTTTAGCAGAGGCTTATTCATCTAGATATAGCAACGCTGAGTGTATTTAAACGATCATATTATATAACCGTAGTACCTACACTTCTTGATTTGAAACTAGTTTAATATCAATGTAATTATTATACTATTATTCTGTGTTAAGCTTACGAAAGTGACCGCAATCTTATATGTTTCGTGTACAGCATGTCTTATAGGATATTAAGTTTTGTTTTTATCGATTTGGAAAAAGCCATAAGGTATACACGTTTGATCCAAAACCTATGAAATAAGAATAATAAAACTAAAAAAAAAACATCACTGTAAATTAAGATAATCTTGATAATTGAAAGTTAAGATCAAAAATTAAAAATTTGTATCTGAAACGTTGATAAGACTACTGCTATCTACTAGTAAATTGAACAAATAAACTCAATTACGATTAAACAGGTGGTCTGTACCTGTATATAGGGTATACCTATATAAACTATGAATTCTCTGATCGTTTAAAATTTACTATATAAACCATTAAATATCAGAGGTTAAACAGAGCGTGGAAAAATTAAAAAAAAAAAAAAACAATTAAAAATGATGATATAAGATCCTAACCGTTGATGACGTCATCTGATTTCTCTGTCAATCGGTTTCTGTAGACTTTGTAGACCTCTGTGGTACATATTATAATCTTATACCTATATTCGTGTTACGATTTGATAGTATAACACGATAATGGCGGTTTCATTGAGTAACCAAACAATCGTGGCTTTGCTGTATTATGGTAATCCGCCCATTGAATCTATACTGGCACGCCGGTTCGGTCGCATACACCCAAGGGCAGTTTTGCTATATTATAATTACGTGCACTTGTTCTACGGTTGTTGAACGGATACTAGCAGGGGTCAGTTGCGCACCAGACGTTTTCCGATTGTGATCTCTGTCTCGGTGTATACTCAGTCGCACAAGTATAGAAGAAATACCTACCTATTGCAGCTGCAGCAACTATATTGGCTTATTCAACCGGTCCCTAACATGCTATCTCGTACTGGGTAACAACGTTACAGTACACGAATAACGGGTGAGGTCTTTTTGTCCTCACTGGTCTTATCAAACTGATCTCCATCGACTTTTTTTTAGTTTTTCCATTAAAACTCAAAATCGATTAATGTTTTTCAAAAAAGTTTACCCACTGAAATGTGCAATTAATACTTATAGTTAAGATACCATAGACGTTGTATTATTGTCCTCGGATATGGGATTGGGATTATTATGAAAATTTCCATCACTTACCTATAGTTAGTCATGACAAGACTATAATATAGCTGTATAAAAATGGAAATCAGTTGAGCAAATGTTTCAAAAGCTTGTTAAAGTTAAGTAAGTTCCTTTACAGCCGGTTTACTTAAGTAAAAATATTTTTTTTAAACAAGATAGTTGAATTGAATTTAATATCTAACATATTATTATTATTATTAATTTATTATTATTCGAACAAATTGTAATTGTTGGCGTTCACGAGGTCGACGTAGAATTTGGGTTAAGTACGTACCTATGCATTCTACACATGCCTACTATCTGCTATTTGCTATGCGATTTTGAATACAAACTTAGGTTTTTGTCTGTGATATTATTATTATTACATCACACAGTTCATGGATTACTATTAATTCTGTAAAAGTTGGATATATTATAGTAGTTTTTTTACTTTTGATTTCTCTATAAATAGCACATTAAAACTGTAAAATGACTATACAAATTATCAGAGGATTTGTTTAAATAAAAAACATGTATGTTTACATACATAGTTAAAAAATATATACATCCAAGGAAATTTAAAACTGAATAGCAATATATTTTGTAAAGTTATATGTATATGCTATTTATAGTATTAAAATCGAATGACAAGTATCACTATATTCAAGTGACTGTAAATAATTTAAGTTTTGCACATATCAACGTGTCCAACAAAGAAGGACGTAACTCGATTTTTCCAATTTTTTGGTTTATTAAATATTAAGATCGCATTTCATTTTCTGTATAGAGGCGATTTATAATAACTCCGGTCTTCCATAAAGATTGTAAAAATTTTAGAAAAAATTGAAATGAAATGTTAACAGCTTAACTTAGAAAACTTTCAACGGCGTACTGAAAAGTTTTAAAAATCGAGTTACGTCCTTCTTCGTTGAACACGTCGATATATATATTTAGAATGTTATGATAATTGATGAAAAAACAGTTTGATGCAAAATTCTAGTTTGATCTGACGATATACACTTAGCAGCATAATAGTATACAAAATTTAGGGGTTAGCAACTAATATTATAGCATACCTTCAAGCAAGCAACAAAAGAAATATATTATACATCTATATCTACAGTACACGCTAAATATATTTTTTAATTCTTTTTTCAAATCTGGTATTTAATGTG